GGTGTGTGTGGGGTGGGGTGACTGTGTGTGTGTGTGAGGGTGTGTGTGGGTGTGGCCTAGCATTACTATACTTGTGGGGACCTAAATCTGTTTACACAGTCACGTGTGGGGGCTCGCTTCCCTTATGGGGACAAATTGGAGGTCCCCATGAGGGGAATCATTCATTTTAGAGCGAAGACTTGGTTAGGGTTAGGGTAAGGTTAAGGTGAAGGTTAGGGTTAGGATTAGGGTTAGGCATGTGTTGGCTATGGTTAAGGTTAGGATAAGTCTCCAGGAAATGCATGTAAGTCAATGTAATGTCCCCTGAAGTGATGTATACATGGTGTGTGTGTGTGTGTGTGTGTGTGTGTGTGTGTGTGTGTGTGTGTGTGTGTGTGTGTGTGTGTGTGTGTGTGTGTGGCCTAGCATTAATATACTTGTGGGGACCTAAATCTGTTTACACAGTCACGTGTGGGGGCTCGCTTCCCTTATGGGGACAAATTGGAGGTCCCCATAAGGGGAATCATTCATTTTAGAGCTGAAGACTTGGTTAGGGTTAGGGTTAGGGTTAGGGTTAGGGTTAGGCATGTGTTGGTTATGGTTAAGGTTAGGATAAGTCTCCAGGAAATGCATGTAAGTCAATGTAATGTCCCCTGAAGTGATGTATACATGGTGTGTGTGTGTGTGTGTGTGTGTGTGTGTGTGTGTGTGTGTGTGTGTGTGTGTGTGTGTGATGTTTAATGGCAGTGTTAATATTTGATGCTGAGCGTGTCGGAGGCCGTGCAGCAGGTGTCTCTGCAGGGGGATCAGAGGACCGATGCAGACGCTCCGCCTAGAAGCAGTTTGACACTGAAGTGATGTTATGAGATCTTTAGTGAGCGGGCTCTCAGGAGATCTGAGGGAGCGTCATTCTGCAGAGAGGGGGACAGAGAAACATGAGACGCTTACACAAGACATAGTCCGTTTGGCCAGGAAGAATCAATATATCAAACACTCTTTTGGTTTTCTATTAAGAATCAATCAGAATCAGAAACAGGTTTAAGGTGGGTTTACACGTACAAGGAATTTGACTTGGTGTCATGGTGTATAAAAACAAGAATTAAAAACAAAGGTAGAGAACTAGCAAAAATATTAAAAATAATTACAAATATATAGTAAAATATATGATATGTGATGATATAAGATACTGATGTGCAGTCTACAGATTTCAAATGAAAGCATACCCAAAGAGGGACATGTGTGGAAAAAGCACAGGGAAATCAACTGGAAAGAATTTTTTTATTTTTTAGAAGCTTAAAAAATAAAATGTATAAGACAAACAGTGTTTTGTCAAGGCCCTCATCTTTTCCTTCTCCTGTCTATCTGACGCTCTCCTATCCAATAATAATAAAGGCAAAGAGACCAAAACTCACTCTTTAAAACATGCTCTCTTTACGAGATGCAGGACCTTGAAAGTCATTATAAACTTTAAATTAGAGGAATAATGGAAAACTCAAGATAATAATTAAATAAATCTGCACTTATTGTTTGTCTTTGCAGTGTTTTGTGAGATTGATCAAGCATGTGTCTTGTTAGTGAATAATTTGCTTAGGTATTCAACCTTCGACACAGTTCATCGTTTTCTCCTCTCACTGTCTCCTTTCCCGTGGCATAGGTCTACGGCCTTGGGTGTTGCTGCTATCTCTTAAGGAGGGGCCGCTTGGGCGCATTGTTGTTGCCAGTCTGTGACCGAGCACAAGCCGCCATGAGGTAGTTTACTGTTCAGGGACGAAGGTTCCCTGGCGCACATTCTTTCCTATGGAAGAGAGCTCTAGTTAGATTCAGGGTCCATGATTGTTTAGTCTCACTGATAAAGAATGTTGATTATTACACTCTGAACTAGTTAAAACCTTGAGCTGCAGAACAGCTCTTCAGAATTGGTTTGGCAACCGCTGTGTCAACTCGTGACACACAACCTGTCTCGTCAATTCTCCGTCCGTAACTCCAAATAAACCCTAAGTGTTTGCCATCAAAGCTCCAGCTCTCCTCGTGTCTCTCTGAGTCCTGTTTCCAATTTGCTTCAGAAGAAACAGAGATGACATTTTTTTCTCACAACTTTTCCTGGTTTCTGAGGTTTACCATTTTGTAGGCACGGAGCATTTCAAGGCTGAAATTATGAACCAGACATATGACTCTATTAAATATATATTTTCTACAGATTTGCTCTCTGAAGAGGACCTGAATAAGCTGACAGAAATAACTGGATGTGCAAGACAAGTCACTTTTCCTTCATGCCGCACAACACCAAACCTCAACGCGTATCGCACAGTCACAGGCGTCTGCAACAACTTGTAAGAGAAACATAAATGTTTTTTGAAAAAATGCACTTTTTAATCTAAGAAGCATTTTCATTTATTTTGACTTCTGAAACACCATATTGGACAAAAATACATGTATGTCAAAAGAAATTGTATTTTTCATTCCATAAAGCAATCTGTGTCGATTTAGTGGACACTTGCTAGGTCTACTGTATGAGAGCAATTGTGGCTTACATTTTAAGGGGAAATTCTTTTGAAATCCACCTAAACATCTTGAGCCAAACAACACAGGAGATGTGTAAACCTAGGATTTCTCAGGCAGCGTTTCCAAACATGACCGTTTTCTGTTTGCTTTTAGAAAAAACCCGCGCCTCGGATCCTCCAACACCCCTTTAGCCCGCTGGCTTCCTGCTGAGTATGACGACGACATCTCCCAACCGAAGGGCAGGGACAGAACTCGAAAATTCAACAACTTCTTCCTCCCACTGGTACGACGTCAAATCGTAAACACTCACCTTGATTAATATACGTAAATGCAGATTTTAATTAAAACCAAGTTGTCCTCCACCTTCAGGTGCGACAGGTGTCCAACCGCATACTGCACACAACAAACGCAGGCGTGGTCAACGACCGAGAATACCCTCACTTTGTGTCCGCTTTCGGTCAATGGTCTGGACACGATATGGTCTCCACGGCCTTCTCCCCCAGCATCCGCTCCTTCAGCAACGGCATCAACTGTGACACGAGTTGTGAAAAAACTGAGCCATGCCTGCCCATCATGGTCGGTTTGAATGCTCAAAAATAAATATATACATGTTGTTTTCACTTAAAATCTTCCCACCATAACTCTTGGACTCTTACAATCAGCTTCCTCCCGGCGACCTCCGCTTGCACACCGGCCCAAAAAGCTGCATCCCTACGTTCAGAGCGGCCCCTGTTTGCGGTTCAGGATATTCCGCCTACAATTTTGGCGGGGAACCTAAAAAGAGAGAGCAGATGAGCGCGGCGACGGCCTTCCTGGATATGAGCCAGGTATACGGCTCCGAGGAACAGCTCGCCAAGTTTCTCCGAGATCCCGACAGTGACGGCGGTTTGCTGCGCGTCAACCCCGAGTTCAGAGACAACAAACGTGAGCTGCTGCCCTTCCACCCTAGCCAGGGTAATTTTTGCGCCACTCGCAAGAAGATCACCAACGACACCGAAGCCAAAGAGGTGCCCTGTTTCCTCGCAGGTAAGTCTCTTCCTGTCACTAATGGCTCTAAATGCAACATTTTAATGGCTTAATAGCCAATAGCTTAGTTAACACTTTTCTATATACAACCACATTAAGGTGATATATATGTCTTATAAATCATTTTTTCAATACTTATATTGTAATGCAGAGGTGTGTCTTATCTTGTAATTAAGTGTCCATATAAGTAAGTATATATAAATATACTGTATAAGTATCTTGAAGACTTAAAAAATAAAATATTCACTACAACAATGCATCATGTGTGAATTTAAATAATTTCTAGTATCAAAGAAAAAGAACATATTGTTTTCACTACATTAAAGATATAATAACTAAGCTAAGAAGAATAGAAAGTAATTTATAGTAGAGGTAAATAAGCAAATGTTCCCTTTTTTAAACCTCTTCATGCCTATGTATGAAACTATTAGGACATGATGTTTGTAAAGCCAATATTTTTAAAGGACATAAACTCCTCTGATCAACTATCTAATGGGTACATTTCTGTCTGTAAGGTGACTCCCGCTTGAACGAGAACCTCGCTCTCACATCTCTTCACATTCTGTTCCTGCGTGAGCACAACCGCCTGGCCCGGGAGCTGAAGAAAATAAACCCGCAGTGGGACAGCGAGACGCTCTACCAGGAGGCCCGCAAAATCCTGGGGGCTTACTCACAGGTAGCAAAACCTGGGGGTCACTCAGATTATATATTCCTATCCTTACAACAACATGTTTCACGGAAAATCGACCTCTGTCTCTCCCAGTTGTTTGTGTTCAGGGACTATCTGCCTCGCATTGTGGGTCCTGATATAATGTATAGACAGCTTGGCCAGTACCCAGGCTACAATGCTCACGTGGACCCCAGCATCGCCAACGTCTTCAGTACAGCAGCTCTCCGCTTCGGCCACTTGACCATCCAGCCAGTCTCTTTCCGTCTGGGTGAAAACTACAGGGAGAACTCCAGTTTACCCTCCATGCCTTTGTTCGAGGCCTTCTTCACCCCCTGGAGGGTCGTCTTCGAGGGTGAGTTTTACAGAGAGCAGTGGAGTAACATATCAAATAGAAATGCAACTATAAGTCAAACAAAAAAAGTGTCTAAGGACAGAAAAATAACATTCAATTTACTGCTAAAGTACTTTTTCATGCAATAATGGCAGAGAATGCTGTTTTCAGCTTCTCAAATCTGTCAATCTGTCACCCTAACTTCTATTTAAATATCTCCAGGGGGCCTTGACCCCCTGCTCCGTGGTCTGATTGGTAGTCCTGCTAAGCTGAACACTCAGGATCACATGATGGTGGACGATCTGAGGGAGCGCTTGTTCCAGTTTGCGTTGCAACTGACTTTGGATCTCGGTTCTCTCAACATGCAGAGGGGGCGTGACCATGGCTTGCCTGGTACATCCTTCACTTCCCTCATATCATCCTTCTCTGATGTTTCTTTCTTTCTTATTGTCCTCATCCACTATTTGCTTACCCGATGATTTCTCCTCTAGGCTACAACGCCTGGCGCAAGTTCTGTGGCCTGTCTCAGCCAGGAACCAGGCAGAGCTTGCTCGGGTCTTGAACAACGCCGGCCTGGCCCGTAGGCTGCTTCAGCTCTACGGGACCCCCGCCAACATCGACGTCTGGATGGGAGGCGTGGCGGAGCCGTTTGTCCGTGGCGGCCGTGTGGGGCCTCTGTTTGCCTGCCTCATCGCATCACAGTTCCAGAGGATCCGCCAGGGGGACAGGTCAGTGTCCATGTAGATAATAACATGTGAATCACATTTAGTTCTGATTTCTAACAATCTACATTTATATAGTGTCACAGGTTACAGTATATTTGTTTTGTTGATGAACTGTTAAATTGTACATGTACTTACATTCATGCCTATGTTGAGCATTAGATTTTCAAAATGTATACATATATATAAAAAAAATGGGTCTGACATAATAAATGGTGTAATATATTTATATCAAATGCCAGATGCACAATCATGAAAATAAATGCTTTACAAACACATGATCTGCTGACTGTAGTCTGTTGTTTGATATGATCAGGCTGTGGTACGAGAACCAGGGCGTGTTCTCCCCGGCTCAGAGAGCGGCTCTGTCCACCTCCACCATATCCAGGATCATCTGCGACAACACCGGCATCTCGACTGTCCCTACCGACGCCTTCAGCGTCATCTCAAACCGCAACAGACGTGTCCGTTGCTCCAGCATCCGACGCCTGAACCTGTCCGCCTGGAGGGACAGGTGCAGAGGTGAAACAACCACAGGGTCCAAATTACTAATCGGAATTAAGACATTTCTCCTAACTGTATTTTTTCATTCCGCTTTTAACCAGGTGTTTTTATTTCTTCTTCTTGACTGTCTTAACCCTTCTTCATATGTGGTGTTTGGTCCTGCAGGTCCGGGTGATAACTGTAGAGGTGTCGGGGAAGAAGAGGTTGGTTTTAAGCACTAACACGTTGCAGTCATATTTTAAGAGCAGAATGAAGCCAAATGAAAGTTCACATTCAGATCAAGCAACACCTGTAGTTCTTAACTTTTTGACATCTTGGTGAAGGTGTTACTCCAAAAACTAAAAACATTCAGGGTTTACTGATATTTGCAAATAAATAAAAAACTCCTTAAATGTTAATGCTGTTATATTTGTTTAACTTCTAAATTGTCTGGATGTTCAGGCTGTAAACGACCTAGAGGAAACCCAGGAACCCCAGGAACCTCAAGAGCCAAAGTCTCCCCAGGCACATCAGGAACCTCAAGGGTCCCAGGTTTCCCAGGAACCTCAAGTACCCCAGTCTCCCCAGGCACATCAGGAACCTCAAGGGTCCCAGGTTTCCCAGGAACCTCAAGTACCCCAGTTTCCCCAGGCACATCAGGAACCTCAAGGGTCCCAGGTTTCCCAGGAACCTCAAGTACCCCAGTCTCCCCA